TGGAACTCCTGTGGTTATTGGCATGATAACGACTATAGGAGTTGGTGAGAGCACAAACAGATCTGGGACCAGGCTACTATGCATCACCTTCCTCAAGTCCCCCCCCACACACACACACACACACACACACACATGCACACACAGGCACACAAGAACGCACACACCCGCAGTCACAAACACACACACACACACAATGGGGCAGCCAAAGCGTGAACTGTGAATGCTGTGTGATAAAAACAGAAGGCTCATTTCACTTCAGTAGAATATTGTAATCAAAGAAGGCTTATACTCACAATGCGCATCCCAGAGTCCAATGGGCCCTGTCAAAAGTAGTGGACTATATAGGGAATAGGGTGCCATTTGGGACGCAGACATCTTCGCTAAACCCTCCCCTTGGCACGTCTCCAGATATGCTAAATCTACAAACCAATCAGTAAACATACACAGACAGAAGGAGTTATTCACACAACGTCCTCCCCTACAAAACGATTGGATTACAACAAAGTAAATATTTGTTCACTTTGTAAAAAATCTATCAGAGAGCAATGTCTAGACAAAAGAAATGTAATAGTCAGCTGGTTATGTGTAATTGTGTGGCAGAGCTACAGCTTCAGACAACATGTGAAAAGCATTTCCAACTAAACAATGTTATAATTGGTCAATTAGCAAAGAAATGACCACCACCATATTAGATAAAAGTAAATCGGAACCGTTATCATATTGACAGATGCAGCAAATAAACACCAAGCCTTTTCTTTCAAAACACTGCATTTAACTTGATTAGAACCATATGGCAAACATGTGATGAGGTGTGAATGACGGAGTCAGGCGCAGGAGCTAAAACACCAAAATCCAGAGTTTATTCAGTGTACATGAATGAAGCACAGCAAGCGTCAAAACGAAAATCCACCTTGGCTACATATAAGGAAAGAGTAGCTCAACCGAGCTACTCACTCTCACAATGAACAATCACTCACAAAGGACAAGGGGGCAGAGGGAACACTTATACACAGACTAATGAGGGAATGAGTACCAGGTGTGTGTGATTGACAAGACAAGACAAGACAAGACAAGACAAGACAAATGGAGTGATGATAAATGGAGCGGTAGTGGCTAGTAAGCCGGTGACGACGAACGCCGAAACCTGCCCGAGCAAGGAGGAGGGGCAGCTTCGGCTGAATTCGTGACAAACATCCACATCCACAAAGACATCAGGGGTATTAACACACCACATAATGGAATAATTTGAACATACTCTTAAGGCAATACTATCATCTCCAGTCTACAACTTCCCACAAGAGTCAACCTGATTCAATCTCAGCTACAGTGAAAACAAATAGCTCTGCAGCTCTGCCTAATATCAGAACACTGGGTGGCAATCCTCTACAGCGCTGCATTTCATATCTGTGTCCCAAATGGCAAAAGCAGTGCACTATAGGAAACAGTGCCATTAAACCCCTACAACTTATCCAGAACGCTGCAGCCCATCTGGTGTTCAACCTTCCCAAGTCACCCCACTGGCTTCCAGTTGAAGCTCACATCTACTACAATACCATGGTGCTTGCCTACGGAGCTGTGAGGGGAACGGCACCTCCTTACCTTCAGGCTCCGATCAGACCCTACACCCAAACGAGGGCACTACGTTCATTCACCTCTGGCCTGCTAGCCCCACTACCTCTACGGAAGCACAGTTCCCGCTCAGCCCAGTCAAAGCTATTCGCTGCTCTGGCACCCCAATGGTGGAACAAGCTCCCCCACGACGCCAGGACAGCGGAGTCACTGACCACCTTTCGGAGACACTTTAAACCCTACCTCTTTAAGGAATACCTGGACTAGTATAACAGTAATCCTTCTACCCCCCTACCCCCTCATAAAGAATAAAAAAAAGGTGGTTGTCCCACTGGCTATCATATGTTGAATGCACCAATTTGTAAGTCGCTCTGGATAAGAGCGTCTGCTAAATGATGTAAATGTAAAATCGAAATGAAAAGGGTTCTACCTGGAACCAAAAAGGGGACAGCCGAAGAACCGTTTTAGGTTTCTAGATAGCATATTTTTTTCTAAGAGTGTAGACCAGACTGACGCACTAGTGGCTCTATCGACACTCAGTACTAGACAGAGGGCACCTTCACAAAAACGGAAGATACACTTCCTGCTCTCTGAGTATCGGACCTTATTGACTCATATCCTCTACACAAACATAGTCAGCTCACTCTTGGCTTGTCCTTCCATATCAAAATTAAAGGTATAAGAGAAAAGCTTAATTGACTCAATAAACTAACTTCAAATATAGACATCCCCGATACAAAAACATTCTTAGTAAATATGGGGAATAAAAAACAAACAAACATCAGGTCCACTACCACCCAAAATACACACAGACAGCACCGGAAGGGGAAGTTCGGTTTTTAAGAGCAATGTTCCAGTCCAGACACAGTCGGTCTGCACTTGAAGTGCTTGTTGTGAATCTCTGCCCTGTCTACTGTAGCTGTTTCCCTGGGGTGGATGGAAAAAGAGACACAGACAGACAGGCAGGCAGGTAGGCAGACAGACAGACGGAGAGAGAGACATCTGTGTGATGAAATATTAATGTCCATTTCCTCTGCTTTCTGTGTGCTGACATTCTAATTAAGAACCCATTACTAATATTAAAGCAGGAAAATTGTTTTAGGGTTCTGGCAATTCCTAAATGTACTCTCATTTAAAAGAGCCACAACGTACTTGACTTGTATTTATAGTGGCTTTGTAACTGTGTGTGTGTGTGTGTGTGTGTGTGTGTGTATGCACGTGCCTTTGTGTGTGTGTGTGTGTGTGTATGTGGGTGAATGAATCACTGGCTCTCTTCTAAATGCAAACCCATTGTCTTTAGAGTAGCTCTCAGTTCAGTTGCTATGAGTTACTTTCACACCAAAGGCTTTGAAACACTTGAGTATAGCATTTTGTGGTTTGAAAACATTCAGTTGGCTGATTATGATCAGAAATATCTATCGGTACAGTCGTTTTTCTCTGTTATCATAAGGGCTTTTTCAGTCGGCAATAAAGCGTTACTACACTCATATCATGGATGAGTGATGAAGGACATTCTGCAGCTTTTAGTAAAATGCAGGTGCATAATGTTCCATTACTTTGCATACTTTTGAAAAAGGTGCTTGACCGCTTCAGTTAAGCCTTAAAGAGTTAAATCAACTTGAAGTTGGATGTAGACAGAACATGAATGATAACATTGCAGATAACTGTATCAGTTGACCTACTGATTCATTAAAATACATTCCTACCTTTATTTACCTTGAGGTATTATTCATTAATAATTGACTTGTACATATTCCCCTCACTAAGGGGAAGGGAAGAGAGGACAACATGCTTCCTTTTGCTCTTATATTCTTCACAATAACGAATACCAACCCATCGTTCACTCTGTTGATATATGCCCTCCAGAGCTTTATCTATTCTCTCCCTACTGTACATTTGATTCATATCATGGCTAAGAGAGCCTTGTATTTCACTTTCATCACATCAATTGGAAAGCAGGAATCCATGCAGCTCTGTTTCCTTTCCTTTCCCTGCTGTCAGTGTGCTGTCACAGACGATAAGGCCCAGACGATAAGGCCCAGCTCTCCTCTCTCCTCTCCTCTCTCAGTGGAAAGAGACATGGGGAGCTCTAGCCACACAGCCAAACTAAACGATATATCCATTCTGATTTCACCTCCAGATTCTGTGAAGGAGCCATCAAAACGTGTTGTTGCTGATTCTGAATCCTACACTGATAAATGGTGGTATTTTGTCTACAATCTTTTTATTACTATGGTATGACATGAACTTAGCAAATCATTTACTGATAATATTTTTTCCCCCCTCTAGCAATCAACTATGTGTTTATCTGCCGGGTGTCAAAAGTTGTAGCTATTCCTCCTGTTTGCACATGTATCCTGTGGGAGCTGTTGAAGTTGCAACAGTTTCACCTCTTTTCCCTCTGAGTAAATGGCTAACATCTGTACATTCCAACCTGCCACGACAGTTTATGACTTATTTTTGACTCCTGTGTTCTTCATATTAACACCCTGTCAAGCTGTCATGGCATTCCTTTGAATGTGTGTAGTGCAGAGAGGTAGGCCTATTCATAAGCAATTTCCAATGTTTGAGGGTGTTGGCTATTCTTTCATTGCCTGGCTGTCTCGACTCACGTGGAAGCCAGAGGACTTCAAGTTAGGTGTCAGCCAGACTAATTCTTTCATGCTTCTGCCGTCAACCTTGAAATATCTCATACTACACCTGGGTAACCTGGGCTTGGAGACAGAGCCCATTCAAGACCCAGCAATAGTTTTCTATATCACACAGTTAACACAGGTGCTTTATTTGCCTTTGAACTAATGAATCAAATACTTAATGGATGGATGAATGAATGAAAGAATGAGTACAGCACTAATAAAGTGCTGTGAAAAGTAATCAATAGAACTGCACCTACTGTAAGCCTATTCAAATAAGATCAGTTCAATTCAATTATTCAATTATGATAAACATTTAAAATGAATTAAATGAAGATATTATAGGATATTAATTATTAACCTAGCATGTAAAATACATACATGTTCCGTTATAGAAAAACAAATGCAGAAGGTAATACATATGTAATACATTCAGAATATTTGGCAATCTTAAACTTTTTCCCAAAGGGATACATTATAGCTTTGTCTATATACAATGGATCCGTTCTCGTTCCGTGCACAGCTGCAGTCAAGGCAACCATCACAGCAAACTTCCACAAGGCAACATTGTATCCAACTGTAGTGACACATAACAAGCGTTGTTCAAACCTGTATTCTGTATTCCCCTCCGCTGTTTTGAAGCCCCCAAAACAACAAAATAATACTCCTACATATGCTCCTTCACTCGAATGAATATCAGAGGACTGCAAGTAGTGACAGCCAGTTAATTTCCCGCTGTTTGCTCCATGACCATCGTTTCGAAGTGAGAGTGAAAGAGATCCCCCTGACTCAATCGCAATGGACCCAAAGCAACGATTGACTCACTCGCTATCCAGCGCCGCCTGTCACTTCCAAGCCAGTACTGCAGTGCCTCCTTTCCTTCCGATTCTCCAATGTTCACAGCTTGGCCGGAGCTCGTCGTCTTCCAGGCTACATTTCCACCGGATTTTTAACACTCCTACCCGGCCTAGATCAGGACGAGACCACCCTAAAGGTAAAGAACAAGCTCCAAGGATCCGGGAGAGTCTAGGTTAGGCGGAGAAAGATCGTCCTTTCTTGTTTTTTTCAACGCTGTCGTGTTAGAGGGAGCTTGCTCGGAACTGACTTCATGCATCAGTTGACTTGGTACACCATGCTGATACTGGAGTCTCCCACCATAACAAACCTATCCGTTCTACAAAGGACTCTAAGATCGGATTCGAAACATTTACCGTTCCTTAGAATGCGTCAATTGACTTCTAGTCAAAATGCTCCTATTTGTCGGGTATAGACGTATAATAATGCTCTCCTAAAGTGAGAGAAACATGCTATGTTTTATTTAGCTCGCCTGCCTGCCTTGCGAGCCCCCCTTGCTGCAAATAGGTGCAATTATGCTTTCCTTGCAGCTCTTCACTCGAATGCTCCAAACCAATATTTGTGTGCTGGTGGCTATGCTGTAGGCTAGGAGTGCTAGGAGTGTTCTTCTATTGCTTGGCTTTTGACAGCTAAAGCATTCGGGAAACTAACCCCAAAACGAAGGTATAGTACCCTAGTCATTAGTCAAAAGGATTGAATCCAAGCCTGCTTTTATTACCGACCACAAGGCTACAAATGAACTGCGATAATGAAACAATATTTGCACGCGTGTTATTGTTCTATAAGGGGATTATTATAAGCCAATTGGATCGAGCTAATGGAATGATTTGGTGACCCGTATTTAACCATATAGCTTGCTATAGGCGTGTGGTGTGACCATTATGGATTATGGAATCATCATGAACATCGTTTGTCCTTCAAAAATACAGGGATTTAAATAAAGTACTCTAATGGATATTATGTATAAATAGTTTATAGCTTTTGTTTATAAACAACTTTTGATGAATACTCAGTAATGTTCAACATCCAACCATCAAACCGACAGACAGGACATAGGCCTGAATAGGACTACTCATGTAGGTTACAAACCACAGACCAACCCACAAAGGGGTCTACCAGTCCAGTGAATTATGTAACGTTGAAGAGGTAACCTACATGTCTGATGATGAGCAACACCTATCTCTCTTGGCTGAATATCAATAATCACAGCTGCAACAACATCTGCATGCCATGCGTAGATTCAATGCAGTTATCGATTAGCTGTAGCCTATGACCATGTTATTATCCAAAGTTATGAAATAGGTATCCCAGTTATTGAACCAGTTGATCACTTTTCCCTTCTTTCTTTCTTCATAGGGAGAATCAAAATGTCCAGTGAAAGACAAGGGCGGTCAGATGATGAGAGTCCGAGCACCAGCAGTGGTAGTTCTGATGCGGACCAGAGAGACCCGGCGGTGCCGGAGCCCGAGGAGGCAGAGGAGAGAAAACAGCAGCCCACCACACCTCCTCAGCAACAGAAGAAACCTACCAAATTATCCAGCAAGACTACCGCCAAGTTGTCCACTAGTGCTAAGAGGTAATGCCTTCATGATCATAATCACTGTCTTCTTCCAATTTGGAAAAATTCATAATTACTGTAGCCTACATCCTTCTGCTAAACTGAGTAGCCTAATGTAAGAATTATGGTTAATTTATAATGCTTTAATCCTTTGAGTCACAAATCCTATTATGATAGGATACATTTATTTTAATCTATTATTCATGTGCCAAATAAGATTATTAAAAACTACAGCCATTGTACTACATTATCATATGTAGTAAAGGCTTTATTATTAAGTTGTTTGATCAAGGTTTTGTGAAGTATTGATAGTGACCTATTCTCCCTGTCATGTCACAATATTTAATGTTGTGTGAGAGGAAGATAGTCACTTTAACATACATACATGTTTAGCAGTTTTCAATCTTATCAGAACTTGGAATTATCTACACAATAGCCCATAAAGCGGCAATCAGCAGTTGAAACAATAACCAAGCGTCATCCCCGCCCCTGTTTCGTTCAAAAGCTGAGGAATGGGGCTGGAGAAATGCAACCACTCTCAAATTCATGGATAGAGCTATGGATGCACACGGACTGACCATCCATTATATTAAAATGATAGTTTCAACCATGTTTTGAGGCCATATAGTGTTTGTTTACATTTAATTTGTTTACAAACAATGGAGTTATATTCTTCAAGAATCAATGGGTACATATCATTAATTTATAAGTCCTAAAATGGATGTAGCAACTGCAGATTGCCCCTTTAATATATGTATCAAACACTCCCCTTTTTCTCCCTTACACACTGTTAATAATGCTTTAGTAACAGCACCCTACGCAGCTCTCTCTGGTTTAAAGCCCTTGTCAAATATACCCGAGGTCCGAGGTCCTCCCTCTCCCTCTCTGCCTCATTTGCATATAAGCTGTAAAAGAAAATCTTTTGTGCTAAAAGTGACTGGAACGGGTGGATGAGTGGCGGGGTTGGAGGTGAGGGGAGCTAGCTTTGTGCTGGGGGTGAGAGTGTTGTTTTGGGTTGAACGGATAGGAAGAAACGAAGGAGAGAAAGTTTTGCTGTTCTGGGCTTCGGGTTCTGCCTGGGAGAACAAAGAGGAAGCAGCCATGTTAGCTGAGCAGAGAGAGAGAGATGAGAGAGAGTGAGAGGAAGAAGAGAGAGAGAGAGAGAGAGAAGAGAGGTAGAGAATGAGCAGAGAGAGAGAGTAATGTAGAGGGATCTGTTCTCTACTGCACTCTCATCGTCTTCTCTCGCTCTCTCGTTCTCTCTCTGCTCTACTCCGTTCTCTCTCTTCTCGCTCATCTCTCTCCTCTCTCTTCTCCTCTCTCTTCTTCTCTCTCTCTCTCTCTCTCTCTCTCTCTCTCTCTCTCTATCTCCTCTCTCTCTCCTCTCCTCTCTCTCTCTCTCTTCTTCTCTCTCTCTCTCCTCTCTCTTCTCTCTCTCTCTCCTCTCTCCCTCTCTCTCTCTCTCTCTCTCTCCTTTAGAGAGAGAGCCGTGATGTTAGAGCTGTATTGGTAGAGGGCAGTGTAAGTCCCTAGTCTACATGGCTACTCTGGTCTAGTGCTGTGAAAATCTCTTCTCCTCTCTCATTTCTCTCTCTCTCTCTCTGATAGCGAGGTCCACAATAGAAACAAGTCTGTTGACTTTGCTGTGTTTTTATCCTTGATGATTTTTTGATGTGTGTTTTGTTCATCCCTAAAGGGCTGCTTTAGTCAAGTGGTGTTGAGTCTCTTCTGTCACAGCTCTCTTCTCATAGCTTCAACACATTTCTCATTTCTTTTCCACAGAATCCAGAAGGAGCTTGCTGAGATCACTCTAGATCCACCACCTAACTGCAGGTATGGCAAAGATTTCATATTCATTTTTATTCTCAGTTTATGCACTTTTTGTTGATGAGGCTGAAGGCTGCCAGTTATGTGTTCTTCTGCCACACAAAACTGTTGCAGATTTTTATTTTAACTTGTTGTATTACTTGTCATATTAAAGTGTTTAAATGGGACATTCATATTATTTCAATGCCTGGCTTCAAAGCAGAGACAAAGAGGAAGGTCTGATGTGATGGTTTTTGATGTGTTAAATAATTGATGTTTAGCTATGGTTTTTGCACTGTCATGTTTTTAATAATGCAACGGATGCCGCATTTATGCAGACTGTCTTTGATTCCATCCTACATGCTGTTGAACTCTGTCCATTTAGATTCCATCTGTTGTAAGGAGGTGGACATAGATATGTGTTTATAACAGAGTTGACATAGATATGCCTTTATAACGGAGTTTACATAGATACAGTATGTGTTTATAACGGAGTTGACATAGCTATGTTTTTATAAAGCAGATGGGATGCTGCAAATTCAGTGTAATTATGTTTAGTTAAAGAATGTATGATTTTATGTTTTTGGACGACCACTGAAGAATTTTGCTTCATACTTTTTAGCTGTTAATTAGCTGTTAAACAAGTCTTTTGGAGAGAGAAAATAATGTCTGTATAGATTGTTGAATGCCATTTTGTCATCCTTGAGTCTTCTGAAATTCAATTGCAGTCATGCAATTCGATAAACTTACAATACTTTGCTTACTGGGGTGTGCAAATGTTCTTTATCCAAACCACTGTTGCACAGATACCGACAGTTGTGTTTTCATCGTTTTTTTTTATTGCGTATTAAATGTCTTCAACCAAGGAGAAATTACAGACAGAGTTTGAGTTATGCCTCTGAATTTGAGTTTCATTCTGTCATTAAGTCTATTAGCTCTAATGACTTTGACCCCGGCCCGGGGATTTCCTTCTAGGATTTATTCATGAAGCAGCACTATGACAATTGGTCTTTGTTTTGTTCTCTAGACCCAGGACTTAAAGGGGGGCTCTGGCATTCTTTAGACTAGCCCCTTCACCCCTCTATTGGGCTGCTACCATTAATTATTTCCTGTTAAACAAACCTCACCGTGCCCACTGACTCTTTGAAAGACCCTCTCTTATATAGAGATGATTCACGTTACACCAATATTACACTGTCATGTATTTTATGTTTAAGTGGACCCCAGGAAGAGTAGCTGCTGCATATGCAACAACTAAAGTGGATCCTAATAAACTAAACTAAACACTAACCTCCAAATTGAATGCCTTTGACTCCACATTTGTGGTTTTAGAATAGAATCAGTTAGTGTGTGGTGTCATAAGGGTTGATGTAGTGCCTGCTACCTTTAGTCAAGAGTCATTCATCAGAAACGCCTTTGGACAAACATTCTGGGGTGTAATTAGTCCAAAACGTTTCGCAACGGAAACGGTTTACTCCATACGTGAAAAGTTTTGCAACTGAAACTAAAATTCAGGTAGGTCCCTCCCTATATTGTTCCGTTTGCTTCCGTTTGCTTCCGTTTGTTTCTGTTTGGTTCCTAGTGAATACACCCCTGTTTTCTAAAATGCTGATGTTGCATGTATGCATTGTTTAAGTTAACCTTCGCTATGCAAGACTGCCTCACTGAGATGCAGATCAGATCACTGTGTCTCTGTGAAGAGGTGGTCGTGGATCATGGACCACAGATCAGCATGATGTGGGCAAATGTTTGTGGGTGAATGTGTGCTCCTCCTCCTCTGCCTGTTGTGGTTATGCGGTAGTGGTGAGCTCCAGCCCACACCATGTTTCTTCTGAATTGAAACGGGGATCGATATCCTGCCCTGGCACGACTAGGGCATTCCTGAGACAACCTTTGATAATGGTAATTGGCAATGCAGGGCCTTTCATGGTCTTATTCTCCACTCTGCGCTGTGCACTCTGAGTAGCAGTGCTGATCTAGGATCAGTTTTGCCTTTTAGATCATAACATTGATTAAATGGACGGGGGGGACCTGATCCTAGATCAGTACCGCTGTCATGGTGTGTGGGTGCATGGCTCATTAATCCCTTTTCAGTCAGTAGGACAGTCAGTCTCTCTGGTTGTGTTTCAAATAACACCCCAGTGGCCAGTGCATTTACCTGGAGGCTGTCTGGGACACACATCTCCAGTGGCCAGTGCATTTACCTGGAGGCTGTCTGGGACACACATCCCCAGTGGCCACACATCCCCAGTGGCCAGTGCATTTACCTGGAGGCTGTCTGGGACACACATCCCCAGTGGCCAGTGCATTTACCTGGAGGCTGTCTGGGACACACATCCCCAGTGGCCACACATCTCCAGTGGCCAGTGCATTTACCTGGAGGCTGTCTGGGACACACATCCCCAGTGGCCACACATCCCCAGTGGCCAGTGCATTTACCTGGAGGCTGTCTGGGACACACATCCCCAGTGGCCACACATCCCCAGTGGCCAGTGCATTTACCTGGAGGCTGTCTGGGACACACATCCCCAGTGGCCACACATCTCCAGTGGCCAGTGCAGTTACCTGGAGGCTGTCTGGACCACACATCTCTAGTGGCCAGTGCAGTTACCTGGAGGCTGTCTGGGACACACATCTCCAGTGGCCAGTGCATTTACCTGGAGGCTGTCTGGGACATTACAGTGGTTTGATGGTAATGCATCACATTTTGGCTCCCTGCCTTGATAGTGCCTTGGCCCACAACCTGGCTCTAATTTCAGTTGGTTTAGATAGCGTAGTTCCTTGTTGTTGGTTTTGGTTGCAGTATCAACTATCAAATGTTTTCCTTGTTCTCTCACCTTAGGCCCTTGTGTACTCCAAATTGACACAGTAACACACACACACACACACACACACACACACACACACACACACACACACACACACACACACACACACACACACACACACACACACACACACACACACACACACACACACACACACACACACACACACACACACTACTTACTACACTAATCCATGCAATTTGATGCTAAGAATTACAGACTTAATGGACCTGAATGCCATTCTTAAACAGATTCATTAAAACATTACCTCTGTGCTGCTGGTCCACATTGGCCAGTGACCCAGTGTAGTGATGTTCCCTCTAGGAAAAATACACCTATTCTAGTCTATGTTATGTTTATGCTGATGCTATTGGATGGTAATGCAGAGAAACACTGCTATTGATTAAACACCACGCCACCATGCAGGCCTGTCAGACCACACATAAACACACATGTTTATGAGCAAAGGACATATATGAGGATTTATACTCCTTTAGAAAAGGAAAAACATCTAAATGATTACATGACAAAAATGAAATAAAGCTACTATAAAGCACATCGACTGTATAGTGTATAGTGTATAGTATATAGTATATAGTGTATAGTGTATAGTATATAGTGTATAGTGTATAGTATGTATAGTGTATAGTGTATAGTGTATAGTATATAGTGTATAGTGTATAGTGTATAGTATATAGTGTATAGTGTATTTTTTTATTTTTTATTTTTATTTTTTATTTCATCTTTATTTAACCAGGTAAGCCAGTTGAGAACAAGTTCTCATTTACAACTGCGACCTGGCCAAGATAAAGCAAAGCAGTGCGATAAAAACAACAACACAGAGTTACATATGGGGTAAAACAAAACAAAGTCAAAAATACAACAGAAATAAATATATATACAGTGTGTGCAAATGTAGCAAGTTATGGAGGTAAGGCAATAAATAGGCTATAGTGCAAAATAATTACAATTAGTATTAACACTGGAATGATAAGTGTGCAAGAGATGATGTGCAAATAGAGATACTGGGGTACAAATGAGCAAAATAAATAACAATATAGGGATGAGGTAGTTGGGCGGGCTAATTTCAGATGGGCTGTGTACAGGTGCAGTGATCGGTAAGGTGCTCTGACAACTGATGCTTAAAGTTAGTGAGGGAGATAAGTGTCTCCAGCTTCAGAGATTTTTGCAATTTGTTCCAGTCATTGGCAGCAGAGAACTGGAAGGAATGGCGGCCAAAGGAGGTGTTGGCTTTGGGGATGACCAGTGAGATATACCTGCTGGAGCGCATACTACGGGTGGGTGTTGCTATGGTGACCAATGAGCTAAGATAAGGCGGGGATTTGCCTAGCAGTGATTTATAGATGGCCTGGAGCCAGTGGGTTTGGCGACGAATATGTAGTGAGGACCAGCCAACAAGAGCGTACAGGTCACAGTGGTGGGTAGTATATGGGGCTTTGGAGACAAAACGGATGGCACTGTGATAGACTACATCCAATTTGCTGAGTAGAGTGTTGGAGGCTATTTTGTAAATGACATCGCCGAAGTCAAGGATCGGTAGGATAGTCAGTTTTACGAGGGCATGTTTGGCAGCATGAGTGAAGGAGGCTTTGTTGCGAAATAGGAAACCAATTCTAGATTTAACTTTGGATTGGAGATTCTTAATGTGAGTCTGGAAGGAGAGTTTACAGTCTAACCAGACACCTAGATATTTGTAGTTGTCCACATACTCTAGGTCAGACCCGTCGAGAGTAGTGATTCTAGTCGGGTGGGCGGGTGCAAGCAGCGTTCGGTTGAAGAGCATGCATTTAGTTTTACTAGTGTTTAAGAGCAGTTGGAGGCTACTGAAGTAGTGTTGTATGGCATTGAAGCTCGTTTGGAGGTTTGTTAACACAGTGTCCAATGAAGGGCCAGATGTATACAAAATGGTGTCGTCTGCGTAGAGGTGGATCTGAGAGTCACCAGCAGCAAGAGCGACGTCATTGATATACACAGAGAAAAGAGTCGGCCCAAGAATTGAACCCTGTGGTACCCCCATAGAGACTGCCATAGGTCCAGACAACAGGCCCTCCGATTTGACACATTGAACTCTATCAGAGAAGTAGTTGGTGAACCAGGCGAGGCAGTCATTTGAGAAACCAAGGCTATTTAGTCTGCCAATAAGAATGCGGTGGTTGACAGAGTCGAAAGCCTTGGC